TGACTATTCTAAATCCTCCAATGTCTTAAGTGTCCCTGTGTCTATTCTAAATCCTCCAATGTCTATAGTGTCTCTGTGACTATTCTAAATCCTCCAATGTCTATAGTGTCTCTGTGACTATTCTAAATCCTCCAATGTCTTAAGTGTCTCTGTGACTATTCTAAATGCTCCAATGTCTATAGTCTCTCTGTGTCTATTCTAAGTCCTCCAATGTCTATAGTGTCTCTGTGACTATTCTAAATCCTCCAATGTTTATAGTGTCTCTGTGACTATTCTAAATCCTCCAATGTCCTAAGTGTCTCTGTGTCTATTCTAAGTCCTCCAATGTCTATAGTGTCTCTGTGACTATTCTAAATCCTCCAATGTCTATAGTGTCTCTGTGACTATTCTAAATCCTCCAATGTCCTAAGTGTCTCTGTGTCTATTCTAAGTCCTCCAATGTCTATAGTGTCTCTGTGACTATTCTAAATCCTCCAATGTCCTAAGTATCTCTGTGTCTATTCTAAGTCCTCCAATGTCTATAGTGTCTCTGTGACTATTCTAAATCCTCCAATGTCCTAAGTGTCTCTGTGTCTATTCTAAGTCCTCCAATGTCTATAGTGTCTCTGTGACTATTCTGAATCCTCCAATGTGTATAGTGTCTCTGTGTCTATTCTAAGTCCTCCAATGTCTATGATGTCTCTCATTTCTGTTCTGTATGTCTTCCAATATCTTAAAGGTCTCTGTATCCATTCTATAATCCTCAAATATCTATAATACCTCCATGTCTGCTCAATACGTCCTGAAATGTTTATAGTGTCTTTTTGTCCTCCAATGTGTACATAGTGTTTCCATGTCTGTTCTCCAAGTCCTCTGTCTCTAAATGTCTAGGTCCCTGTGTCTGTGCTATAAGTCCTCCAATATCAATATCATCTCTGTGTATGTTGTATAAATCCTCCAATGTCTAGATGTCTTTACTATAAGTCTTCCACTCTACAATGGCCCTGTGTCTGTTCTAGAACCTTTGCAAGTCTACATTTCCCTGTGTCTGTTCTATAAGCTTTTGTCCTCCAATGTTTATAGTATCTCTGTGATTGTTCTACAAGCCATCCAATGTCAATTTTGCCTCCTCAAGGTCTGTTCTATAAACTCTCCTATGTGTATAGTGTTATCTGTATCTGTTCTAAAAGTCACTCTGTTAGGGTATATTTTTTGATTGAAGGACAAATTCTAGTGGTTACTTTTATGATGTGAATGCCACTCCATTAGTGTCAATTTTTGATGTTTTAAAAATAAATCCTACAGGGTCTAATTATCATTCATTTTTCTAGCATATATTTTGATGCTTACTTTTAATTCTGTAATGTCTAAATCTGTGGCATAAATGCCCTCCTTTAGGATCTGTTTTTGATATCAAGTATGAATCCAAGTGTTTAAATCTTTGAAGTAAATGTCACTCCTTAGAGTCTATTTTTGATATCAAGTTACATCTTTTAAATGTCTAAGTCTTTGGTGTAAATACAACTCCTTTAGTGATTTTTTTGATATCAAGTATGAATCTGTGGTGTAAATGTCACTCCTTTAGGGTCTATATTTGATATCAAGTTTGAGTCTTTAGTGTCTATGAACATGTGATGTAAATGTCACTCCTTTAGGGTCTATTTTTCATTAGTATGAATCTTAGTGTCTATAAATCAGTAGTGTAAATGTCACTCCTTTAAGGTCTATTTTTGATATCAAGTTTGAATCTTAGTGTCTTAATCTGTGGTGCAAATGCCACTCCATAAGCATCTCTTTTTGATGTTAAATAGCAATCCTTCATGTCTTACTATGTGGTGTAATTAACATTAGTCCTACATTGTCTCATTCTGCAATCTACCTATAAATACCCATTCATTGATGCTTAATATCAATCCAGGGTGACTTATCATGTATTGTAAATGCATCAAATCATTGGGGTCTATTTTTTATGTTAAAAAAATGAATCCAACATTGTCTAAATCTACAATTCCACTAGGGTCTATTTATTAATTTAAGATACTGATGAATAATTTCAGCATATCAGTAGCCATCTAACCAGTGATCTACCTAAATATGTTCTGGATAATTACATGTTAGGTAAATATATCATATTCTAAAGTTTATGTTTTGATAGCATGTTACCTGCAGTGCTCTTATCAAATATTCTTTCAAATTAAAACAATATCTTTTAAACTTTTAATTTTTTATTTATCACTGAAGAAAGAATTAATCACAGTGATTGCACAAACCATTAAGAAATATTTCAAAATGATCTCCATAGCAAAACAATGAATAACAAATGAACAGTGGAGACTTCATAAAAACAAAACCACTGTCGCCTTCAGGAATTAATGTTTGTACAAAAAGAGTCATTCATTAATAAACAGGCACAGTTGTATTTCTAGCAAAATCATTGTTCATAAATCATTACACTGAAATAATGCTGTAAAATTTTTGTGTCACATTTATTAAAATAGTTGTACAAAATCATTTTGTTCAGGAATGTGTGCTTCCTTTTCCATATCACACCCCATATACCAGTATCCAAAAATATACTGAATATATAGATATATGGGGGAAAAAAGGGATTTACTAATCTATGTGTATATCACAGATGGCATAATATATGATGATCATTCAAAGATTTATACATGTACATTGTAGTTTTACACACAGAAAATTTTTCTAAAAAAATTTTTAAGCATGAATATTTCATAAAATAAGATATTAGAATCATGTGTAATTCATACATATATAACTTTTTTTGGGGGTGATTTTTATTTACATTTTTTATTCATATAAAAGATAAAGTCTGTAATTAAATGATTATATTGAAGGTTGAAAGTTTGACAATACCTTTGCCTTTGTAAATTTGGAAACTTACACAATTTAGTGTTTAATATTTCTCTTTTAAGCAGAACATGACTCATAAAAGGAAGAAATTTATCCTTATCTGCAATATTTCTCTTCATTCCTCACCATTTCTTGAGCCCCTATATAAGCCTCTCGACTGACTTCTGCATGGTTCAGAGTATTTCGCTGAAGTATAGATCTAACCACATTGTACATCTTACATTGTCATTGTTACCCGGTCACAATTATATTATCAAATGTATGCACCTGTACCATATGTCAGGAGATAAAGTGACATCAACTTGACAGGTCAATGCATTACAAACAAAAATTACATGTTAAACAAGGATATAAAATGTAAATGATAAAACAATATGAAATGCTACACTTTAGTCATGAGTTCAGGGTGTGCAATCAGGGGTAACAATTGAGAATAATATATACCCTAGTGCTGATATTTGAGAAAGGAAAACTATTACGGCATATGGTGTGCTCAGCTCTCCCAATGATAAGAAATTTGACAACAGAAAGAATTGAAAATGATAAGTCATTCATAAATTTCATAAAAACTTCCACTTCATCAACATTTTTCAGACGCTGATGTAAAACATAAAATAATTCCAAGTATTGAAAAGAACAGTGGGTACAGTTAAACATTATTGCCAGATAATATAAACAAGGCATGGTATGGCTATTTCATTTCAGTTGTACTGTCCAGGTAAAAACTATGAAATAAATACACAGTCATTTTTTACATTCAGATTTTCTTTTTACAGACTACACAGGAATGATAAACTTTAATTACAAGTACAATTTTTCCTGAATAATTAATCAACAGATGATGTAGAATGATGTACAATATCAAGATTTATTACCCTGATTGGATGAGTAATATATTTTTTTGATCTCTGATGATATTAAACAACATCAACCTGAAATAGTCTTCAACCGCTACCCCTTTCTAAGAGTAAAATTTAAACAAAAAATCTCAAAAATTATTGCTTTTTTTTTCCACGACAATTTTGGAACTAATACTATGAGCATTTAACAGTATCCAGTTAAATTTACATCAGTTATTAAAATGGGTAATACTTGATAGTGACTGGTACATAAAGTGATTGGAGATATTAAAGTAATAATAATTCACATATGAAAAAAAAATAATATGGCACATGATGAAAATATGTTGGAGCTTTTTAAAACATTTTCAGTGAACTCATATCAGAGGACATATAAATATGAAAGTTATTTCTGGGACTGAAGCATGCAGAATGTGTTTGTATATTTTAGGGATCTGAGTGCATTGAAGCAACTGTTGGATCTTTCATTCCTTTCATTTTCAGGAAATACAAAATACATACAATTTATCTCCAGTAATGATGTCTCCACTACATGTAATAAAAATTAACAATTAGAAACTATCCAGCTTCTATAGAAGATAACAAGGATCATGACTTACTTCTGATCAGAGGGACCAGCAATATTTATAATTGTAGTTACACTCATTGACACTACTGGAAAACACCCAGATCTACTGGGAATATAAACATTAAATTACAAAAAACTCACAGATAATAGCACTCCGAATTAAATTAATATACTGAAAGTATTAGGGCTGGGACGATACAACATTTTTTGCATTGATATATAATACGATATTTGAAGCACGATACGATATATATCACAATATGTTGAAATATTTAAAAAAAAATTGTATTGAAATGAACACAATATTTCTTTTCAAAAATAAGAATAATTTATTCAAAGAAGTTGTATTTCTGTTGTAAAACAAAATTCTTTTACACAAGTGGTGTTTATTATTATGTATTTCATATTTATATTTTGCATATTTATTTTATATATTTAACCCAAAATGCTAAGTAAACAAAGAAAGAACATAAGTCAGAAATTTTTTGCGATATTTCGATCTTTCTTCATACGTATCGATATGCGTATCATCCTCACATTGAATCGATATTATTGATATCTCGATATGTTGTCCCAGCCCTAGAAAGTATTCACAATTATACAGGTATGCAAGAACATACACTGCCTTACAAAACTAGAACATGCAATGTGCTGAACTTTTTCTATATGTATGCAGCTTATCATTTTAAATTCTTTAAAAACAATCACAGATATTAAGTCAAATAAAACATAAATATATATGTCAACTGAATATAAAGTTAAACAACTGAGGCTAAAATACATAATTAACTTGACAGTCACTCAGAAATATCAAGTGTACAATTCATTGCAAAACAACAAACAAATATCTCCATTTCAACAAAATCAATCTTTAAATAAATAAATTGTGAAAGAAAATTGATTATTCCTCTTTTTTCATCTTCTCTCCATTTGGTTCAATCCCATTAGAGTTATCTTTCTTGACGATGTCTTTGATGGGGCCACATCCTTCATAAGAGCTAGGGTTTCTAAATGAGCCTCCTATCCTATCCCACAATGTAAAGAACTGGCCGTAGTTGTAATTATAGAACAGATGGTGGTCAGTGTGGTGGGCGGAGCCATTGATGAGTGGCTTCAGAAGGCCAGGCACCCGATAATCTCCATCATGAATGGACACTGTCCAGATGTTTACAAACACAAATAGACATAAGTAGGTCACTTTGTGTAATGGGAATAGGAAAGGGTAGATGTGGTAGGGACAACTCTGGAGGAATCCATCCAGGGGGTGAAATGCATGGGAGGCAAAAGGAGTAGGGATCTTCCATCGGTGGTGGTCTTTGTGGATGTATTTGTAGATAAGTTTATGATGAAGAAATCGATGGATCCAATAAATACAGGCATCAGTAAATAAAATAAAGCTCACTATGCTAAATAGGATGCTACACCAGCCTACATAAAAAAAAAAAATATCACATTCAGTCTAACTGAACAATTATAAACACAGTAAAACTATTAAGACAATCAAATACCATACAACACCCCCCCCCCCCCAAAAAAAAAAAAAAAAAAAAAACCTTGAAATTACTTCTTAAAAAGATTTGAGTCAAGATTTTTTAAAATATAATTTTATATAAAGCCAACTGTAACACTGCATGATTTTTTATATAAGTTTATTAAATGAAAAATAATGTACTTACCAGCAAAGGAATTGGGGACAGTATCATAGAGTTTGCTGTAACCTCTGACCTCAATAAAAAATAATGCAACTGTAGGAAGGGACATAAGAGGAACTGACTTGATTGTGTACAATATCTCCAATTTTATCTGGTCCTAAAATAGAAACAACACAGTAAGCTCCCTTTGTACAGACTTAATGGTATGCAATCTCTAAAACTTTATCTGGTCCTATAATACAATCAACACAGTAAGCTCCCTTTATACAGACTTAATGGTGTACAATATCTCCAATTTTATCTGGTCCTATAATAGAATCTACACAGTTAACTCCCTTTGTACAGACTTAATGGTGTACAATATCTCCAACTCTATCTGGTCCTATAATAGAATCTACACAGTTAACTCCATTTGTACAGACTTAATGGTGTACAATATTTCCAGCTTTATCTGTTCCTGAAATAAAAGCAACAAAGTTAACTCCCTTTATATAGGTTTAACGCACAGGCACTTGGAGTATGGACCCCCCCTCCCTTTCCATTTTTTTTTCTTTTTAAATCTGGGGTTGAGTCACCTTTTTCCTATTATTGTATTCTAATATGCACTGTATGTTATCAATAATGTAACTCTTTTGTCTCTATAAGCTGTTTTTAAATATATCGTTTTCGACTGATACATAAATTATGTACATCAGTCGAAAACGATATATTCAAAAACAGCTTATAGAGACAAAAGAGTTACATTATTGATAACATACAGTGCATATTAGAATACAAAAATAGGAAAAAGGTGACTCAACCCCAGATTTAAAAAGAAAAAAAAAATGGAAAGGGGGGGGGGGGTGTCCATACCCCAAGTGCCTGTGGGTCCTCTGTTTGAAACAATGCATTTTTCTCCAAAGGTCAAAATTGGTAAAGGAAGGAACCAAAAAACATTAAGTTATTGATTTAATTTTTTAATTTAACTGATAAATAAAATGAAAAAATGATCAAGTTACAGCATTCAATAAATAACTCATACTTCAGCGTATTACATATCTACCTTGAGGAACAATGGATGTTTCATCAACCTGGAATCAAATATGGTAAAGTAGCTGAGAGTGGCGGTCATGAAGTAGAGGATGTATCCCCCGATGTTGCTGATCAGGAGGAGGCTAAGTATCTGTCTTAAAGGGGAGTCCTCAGCCCAGGTGGAGGGGTACACATAAGGGGTCAGGACAAACTTGTCTGCGTAACTGAGTACTAGGTCCATCCTGTGTACATGTACACGGGTAAAAATACCAAATTTACTACCTGATATAAAATTCAATATCAATTATTTATCCTTCAAACAATTAAAATTATTTCTCTGTACTTTTCATCTAGGAAGTAGCTCTTAGATTTAAAAAAAAAAAAAAAATTACAAAGAAGCTTTGGCGATTTACTTATGAGATACAATGTACTAAGAATTGTCTTCTTTTTTTTTTTTTACCTTGTTATTATTTCTTAATGGTTTCTAGCTGCTACAACTTTGTACTTTCAAATTTCTCCAATTCTTCAGTTTTGTCAAACTAAAATTGTAAAAAAGTGAAAATTTAAAAAATGAATGTATCTCCAATCATGAGAGCCTATACTTGAGTACTTAAGTGCTCTGTTATATACCGGGAGATAAAATTAAAGGTCACAGTCAACATGGTCAAGTTACACAGGGGACAACAGAAGTATATCTCATTCCAACTCAAATTGATCTGCCTCTGAAAGTTACCTAGCTCATATCACATATGATTCTGAAGGTCACAACATTTGGAAATTGAGAAACTTTTTAGATATTATATGAAATTTATAAATCTTTCATTTGATGAAGTAAGAAATGTGTGTTTAAATTTTTGTGTTGATAAGGTGATATCCAACATGGAAGTACATACCTCTAAATAGAAACAAAGCTAACCTGGAAGCACACATGATGATGTGTATAACCCACAAAACTACTTTATTTCCTATTAGATGTATTATCATTATAAGGACCACGGGCAACAACACTCACATGATGTCAGTTTATAATTTGTTTCTTTTTGATTTCCATTATTTATACATTCAAATTGATTCCCTAATATTGCAAACCCTAGGGAAAGGACCAGTATTCAAAAAAGTTTACAATAGTAAATGGATTCTTGCATATTAATTAAAATAATTCTGGCTCTGCTGTCCCTCAGAAATGAATTTTAAAATTCCAATCTACATTCATAAACATCAAGTTTCGACTCTCCATTAAGTCTCCCATAACTCCAGAAACTTGAATTAACACTAAATGGATATGCTTGCATTTTGATAACAATAACCACTGCCCTGCTTTCTTACGACATGTTTGATATGATTTAAAAAGAATTTTCCAATATATTTTACTGTTAAACCAGGATGCCTAATTTAGTCCCATCCTAGCCCTGGGGGTCATTATTTGAATAAACTTAAAACTACACTCATTAAGTAACCATTTATAATAATTACGTACTATTTTAAAATTATATCTTTTATTGCCCAATGCTTCTTGAGTAAAACGATTATTAAACATGTTAAATGGTCCATTTTCAATGGTCTCTATTGCCAAAGCTGATTCTGGATGCAGGAAGATCCTTTTTTCTCAATACATGAAACCATTTATGGCTAAAGAAATTGAAATCAAATAACTGAATGCTCAACAAAGCTCACAAAATTAATCAAATTGTACTATAAAAAATTAATCCGAACCTTTCATCCAAAACAATATTCAAGGACAACACTACACTTCAGGTTTACTTACCGGGTAATAGTAATACCGACATGCATTATGTATAATATCTTTCATCAGCAGATAATATTTACAGTAAAAATCACCCTATCACGAGGTAAAATCTGAGGATGCATGTCAAGGATAAAGTTGAATCAATTCACTGTACTGTGTCAATCAATCTTGTCAGTCAAAATACTACCTCTGCATAATTCACAAGCAGTTGAAACAGAGCGTTAAAAAAATCTAAGTATAAAAAAAGGAAAGAATCAACAAATATTAATCATGTTAATCACCATCTGATCACATAAGGTTAGTCTTACTCTTAGGTTACCCTTTTTCATGACATGTAAACAGTATACTTAGGTAACACCTAATAAAGTTGCTTCTTATATTTATCAAAATTCCAATTAATGTCCTTACCAAACAATTTATAATTCAATCAAAGAAATCATGACCGATTTAGAAATCGCAGATGGTGTTTACACTTAAGTTTGCTAGCTCGTACATGTGTTGCTTCGTCAAATGAGAGCAATTTGAAGAACGAGTTATCCACCTCTGAAGGTCATCCGGGGGAGCCATGTCGAAAATAGTGAGGTTGGCCAACAGAGGCGTTGAATTAACAAAAAAATATGGCAATATAGCATGGAATGACTATATAAACAAAGGTAGTTTTATTGATTTTATAATTCTGTGTCCTCTCTCAGAATTGTCCCCTTAACTCTCTAATTTTAAAAGGTTGAAACTCTTGAGTAATCAGTTAGGGTCTACCGGTTTTTCTAAAGTTGTAACTCTAGAAAAATGATATATTCAAAGAACACCCTTTTTTATTATATGTTAAAGCTAATTAAGAAAGTAAACCATTCAGTGTTGCAAATTTTTGCTTGTTTGTTCGGAGGAAATGCGGACAGGAAAAAGCAAACAATACACTAACACTGTGCACAGCCAGAGATTATATTTTTAAATTATTTCCATGCATTAAGCTTTAAGGTATTTATCTTTTGTAGTCAATGTCAAGTTTGTGAAATTAGTTACATTTATATCCGAAGCTTTAATTGACATTGTCTCCAGAATTTAATTGTTTTTAATGATTTTTATGTGAACAGGGACATATACAAAAGTCTAATAAAAAGTAATATGTTGACAGTGCAACAGTTAGAGCTAGCGAAGTTGTGACATTAAGATAAGCAAGGTCTTTGGAATGATTGAATCATAAATGACTGAGTTCATTCGGAGGGTAGAGGTTCCCTACCCTCTGGGAGAACAATTTAGAATGTAATTTCAAAGGTCATTGATATTTTAGACCTAAAGCATTAAGTCTGCTCATGCCTTTCTAAGTATGTATAATTATTTTAGGGGGACACTCATCCCCCATCACCCTCCTCCTCACCTATCCTCTTCGTGCCCATGTCCCATCATCTCCCATGCCCTGTTTTATTTGCTGGTAATTTTAGAAAAGTTGATAGAATAAATTCATTTTGCAAAGTGAAAATGCATGTATAATTTAAACAGCATTAAAAATGGAGAAAAACTTTTATATAGAGAAATATGTGACCATTTTGTACATATATTATCTCGTAATTTTCTCAAAATTGCGAGAAAATTATGTTATTTGCAAATCTTTTCAGTGAGATAAATGCAAAAATTAATATGAAAGAACCACAGGTATATATTGCAAACAAAGATACTGTAGTTTGTTGCCATTGTTGGATACCCACGGGTGATCACGTCTTTTACTCACCACCCAAAATAAACCTGAATACGGTTTACCATCTACATGTACATCTATTTGTTACTAACAGAATAAAACTTGACTTTTTTCCAGTTGCAAAATGTCAGGCCAATGGTCAGACGATGTCCCGCTTCCAGTTACTATCACTTTATGTTAAAGCAGAATTAGGACCTCCAAGTCCGGGACAGGCTAGGGAAAGCATCGCTAAATTTATGGACCTCCCTTGGTCATTAACAAGAGAGAGGGTGATGAACATGACTACAAAAGTAAGTTTTAAAGAATCCAAATCTCGTCTCTTAATTTTCGTAGATTTGTTCTTGAGTTGGCAGATTCACTGATTTTGTCACTTTATTATTGAAAAGTGAGTTATCTAAATTGTCTGTTAATTGATAAGCTTATCAAAGATATAGTCAGCGATTGCAATGCAATTTTTACTTCATTATCTTATTTAAGGAATGAATTTTATACGGTATAAACTGGGTTGGGGCAGTTTACGCTTCATAAACCACAAAGCGGTTTATAAAAAAGCGTAAACTGTTCCAACCCAGTTAATACCGTATAAATTGGGTAGCTATTAAATTCATTCCTTATAATTTAATTTTCATTCATTTGGTGTAAGAAAAAAAGATGATTGTCCTTAAATTTGACTTCAAATTGTACAAAATTTGAATGTAACGTCAGGCGGATCGATACGTTTTTGACGCAAGTCATTGTGATGTAGGCAACCCATTTTATACGATATAAAGTAAATTTTTTATCCAATCAAATACAGCATTACAACCATAATTAAATTATATTACTATAGAAAACTTCAAAAGGTGATATTACATATTCCTGAATTATGCAGACTTTTAAATTTGAAGCCATGCAACCATTGAAGATTCATTTGAAAACTGCAGTGATATGTATCAATTATTTTTAAGCTGTAGATTTTAAATGCTAAATATGTTTAAAGACTAAAGTTGAGGTTGAAGTGATATTTAATAGTGTAAATGGAGCAACATTACCTATCATAACAGGAATATGTTCATTACTATAAAAAAAAGAAAATAAGTTCGGTTTCTCCAACACAGAGGTAACTTGGATAATTTGAAAGGCATGTAAATTACATGATCAATTTCTTGTGTAATATTTCAGGAAGCCCTCTGTAAGTCCTTGCTCCTTGTTGATGTTGCTATCTTTTTCGCTATTGGTGAAGTAATTGGCCGAGGTGATTGGGCCGGCTACCCCATCAAGGGCGCCTCTGGGTGGGAATTCTCTAACATGTACACAGAAGAGGACATCAAGAAAATGGATGCTGAGCGAGCGAAGACCAATGCAGCATAGCATTACCTGGACATTTATAGAAAAAAAACTTAAATCAGTGATTGTGTTTGTTATTTAACGCTGAAATTAAAAAAACAATACACATTATATAAATGAAGCTTTTATTTCTACATTTCTGCTGGCATTTAAAATTTTTTAAAAGAAGATATACCTCCTGTTTTATGATACATAATTGGAGTCCTGGGAACAGGCTTTGTAGAAAAATGGTTCAACCCCTAATTGGCCCCCAAGATAAATCTATAGGACACCCCAGATCAGATTTGGCAGTTGCATTAAAAAGGAAGATCTTAAAATCATATTGAACATCTGCAGGACAAGACAGATTGTATTCCAGATGATTTGGCTGTTGCGTTAATGTAAAGAGAAATTCTGGGAATCAGGTTTTGAAGGAAAAAATGTTTTATCCCAATTGGTTCTCGGGATAAAAAAAAATAATCCTGAAAATTTATTGCACATCTACAGGACACCACTACATGTATTTATTTTTCCAATAGATGATATGGCTTCTGCATAAATCTGAGAACCAAGACAAAACAAACAAGCCAGACAAGACCAAAAAAAATTTCGACCCCAAATTGATCCTTGCAAAATACATGTAAATGAAAATTCTGAAACCTTATTGCATGTCTACAGGACAACACAAAACAAACAAGACCAAAAAAATTTCGACCCCAAATTGATCCTTGCAAAATACATGTACACGTAAATGAAAATTCTGAAACCTTATTGCATGTCTACAGACACCAGGAATCATATTCCAAAAGATTTGGCTATTGCATTAAATGTAAGAATAGTTTCAGGCACCATGCTTTTCTAGAAAAAGATTTTTAAAGACTTCACTATGTACATGAATCTCGCAAAAATTTTATCCTTGACTGTGGTCCACCCAACCCCTGGGGACCACAAACTGAACAAACTTGCAACTGCATTATCTGAGGATGCTTACATAATTACATGACTAATCATGTCCTTTCTGTTCCTGAGAAGTTTTTTAGCTCTACTGGTCATAGACCAGAAGAGCTAATGCCATAGTAAGGTGTCCGTCCGTCTGCCTACCTGTTTGTCCGTCTGTCTAAACAACTTTTTCAAAATGCTACTCCTCCTACAGTTTTGGTCTGATTTCAATATTACTTGGTACAAAAGTAGACTACACTAAGATACATAATTCTATTTATCTGTTTTTGATTTAGATGAATGGTGTTGCCATGGTTACTAAAACTAGAAATTTCTGTGAAATACTTTCAAAATGCTATTACTCCTACAGTTTTGGTCTGATTTCAATATAACTTGGCACACATGTAGATTACACTAAGATATATGACTCTGTGAATTAGTTTTTGATTTCGATAAATAGTGTTGCCATGGTTACTAAAAATAGAAATTTCTGTGAAATACTTTCAAAATGCTATTACTCCTACAGTTTTGGTCTGATTTCAATATAACTTGGCACACATGTAGATTACACTAAGATATATGACTCTGTGAATTAGTTTTTGATTTCGATAAATAGTGTTGCCATGGTTACTAAAAATAGAAATTTCTATGAAATACTTTTAAAACTCTACTCCTCCTACAGTTTTGGTCTGATTTCAATATAACTTGGCACACAAGTAGACAACTCAATAATACATAATTCTTTGTATCGGTTTTTGGTTTCAATGAACGATGTTGTCATGGTTACTAAAAATATATACTATGAAATACTTTCAAAACGCTACTCCTCCTACAGTTTTGGTCTGGTTGCAATAAATCTTGCCACAAAAAGAGACTAAACCAAGGATCATTATTATATTTATTGCTGTTGCAAAGTTTCAAGTCTAAGTGCTACTTTTCTCATCCTTTGTTATAAGTATAAACCAGTAGAGCTACTACAGTCTCGTCAGAGACTTCTGGTTTGGGATATACCCCAAGAAAACTTTGTTTCCCGCTTGTGGCCCCACCATACCCATAATTTTAACAAACTTGAATCTATGCTATGTCTGATAACTTTCACATAAGTTTCATTTTTGGCCCAATGGTTCTTGAGAAGACATTTTAATAACTCCAACTTATTCAACTTATTTTTGCATTTTCTTGATTATCTCCCCTTGGCAGATGGTGTGGCCCTTCATTTGAACAAACTTGAATCCCCATTTCCAAAGGATACTTTGTGCCAACTACAATTAATATTTCCCATGAGTGGTTCTGGAAAAGAAGATGAATTTGTCAAAAAAAAGTTTACGACGACGACAATAGACAAAGGACAAATTTCGATCAAAAAAACCTCACTTGAGCCTTCGTCTCAGGTGAGCTCAAATGAAAACTCCAAAACATTTCTGTACATCTACTGGACACCTCCAATCATACCGATGAATTGTCCACTGCTTAGAGCAAAAGGGGACTGAAGCATGCCAAGAAAAGGTACGCATTCTAGTTTTAGAGCGAACTCAATAAAAGCGGAATTAGCGTTAATCTGTGATTTTTCCCCAGGGAGATGTGTGCGAGGCAATTAATGTCAGCAGTTTTGAGGGAAGGATCTTAAGTTTTACTGGTTTGAAATTAAAGCTAGAATACTTACTATTTAGAAGCCTTTGCACCTTTTTCCTGTTGTTTTTTTTTTAAGGGGGGGGGGGGGGGTGGCGATTTTCCATGCAAATCATATGCAGTTAAAAAAGTAAAAAAAAAAAAAAAAAAAAAAAAAAGAAGAAGAAAAAGAAGAAAAACAAAGTGAAATAAGTTGTAGTGAACTAATTAATTGTTCAGTAAAAATTAGACGCCTTTCAAATTTTTCAGTGTTTATATATCAAAATATTTTTTTCCTAGTTTAAATTAACATCGGGCACGATGAACTTGGTTGTTGTGGAAGTCTCGCGCCTTATTAAGGTATCATACCGGTAATTGACCAATGAAAATGAACTTATTCAATTGTAGTTCCATACATATAAAATTATTATTTTTTCCTTTTGATTTTTTTTTTTTAAATTTCCTTCCAGTCTATTTTTACAATTTTGGTACCTGTGTCTAGTGCATTTTACATATTTTGTAAATAAATAAAGGTTTTTGACAGGAACTATTTTTTTCAGGGCATAGGAGGCTACTTCCTGGGGTAGAAGTTTATTTTTTCTTTGACTAAGAAAACGGAAAACTTAGGATCCACCCCCTCAAATCTGCTGCCGTTAATTGTCTCGCCAGCGTTAGGGGAATATGGGTGATTTGCATCAATTACACTTTTATTGACTCCATCGCTGTGGAAAAATGGACGGGATTTCTTGGCATGTTTGAGGAAGAAATGATTAAGATACCGGTAGTGTGACATACCGAGAGAACAACAATTAATATACCCGACTTTCCCTAGAAAGTGCGGTTATAAACACTTGAAAGAATAGCTAAATAAGAATTCCATCTACCTAATATTTAAACCAGCGACCCACGCGAGTGTTGTGGCCTATAGTCCGGTTGCTAATATTCGTTTTCTACATCTGTATACTGACAGGGATGCTAAAATGTTTACGATTATCATGTTTGTTACTGTTTTGGGAATTTGGTACGGAGGCCAGAATGTCAGATTTGTACGTATATGGAAACAACAGGTGCGAGAAATGACGGCATTTCCCTCTCCTGGGGGTGGGAGCTGTAGGTATAGATAGCTAGCGAGTATGTAGGGGGTATTGTATAAGTATTGTCCAGACCAGGATAATCATTTATAATCGTAAAGTCCTGTACACTAAATATCTTTAAAGTGACAGAGATACTCCAAGAAATAGTTTAAACGTTACTGGTGAGTGCATATTTTTTTGTTCAATTTATTTATCTATTTGATTTTAAAATCATTACAGTAATTAGAAGAAAATGAAACTGAATTACTGTTTTTGATAAGCTTAATTGCAGTGTCTCATAAAAATAATATCAAAGAAGGTCTGATATACATTGTATTTCACATTTTTTTCTTTCAAATTTTGATTGTAATCTTCGCCATCGAAAAGTTGAAATTTCATTTTAATTTTTTTTAGTTCTGAATTTATGACACATTTTGGTCTATCCACTCGCCCTAGTTTATTATACCCCCCGCTTGAAAAGTGGGAGGGTATATAGTGAACGGGATGTCCGTCCGTCCGTCTGTTACGCTTTGTGGTACCCATCTCTTATCCGCAACTCCTCTTATAACACTGAATGAAATTTTATGAACCTTTCACAGAATCTTTGTTACATAGTGCCATTGTGCACCTCCTATTTTACTTTTTGATCGGACACATATTTCGGGTTTCCCATAGCAAAAGATGGACACTGCCATTCTTTCTATAATATTGAAGGGTACCCATCTCTTATCCGCAACTCCTCTTATGCCATTGAATAAAATTTAACGATACTTTCACAGATTCTTTATTACATAATGCCATTGTGCACCTCCTATTTTACTTTTTGATCTGACACTTATTTCGGGTTTCCGAGAGCAAAACATGGACTTTGCCATTATAATCATATGAGAGGCGGGGGTATAATTTAGTGAGCTCAGTGCTCAAAGTACCTCTAGTTTAAGTCAGGCCCACTTTTTTTAAAGGAGACCAAGCTATGAAGAGTTTTATCATCACATCCTTCATCTTTATCACCGTTGCCGAGCGTGTAACAAGTAATCCCTTACAGCCTTACTTGGTTCATCCTCGCTGTGCTAAGGCGTGCTCTGAGATGCTGATTGCCAAGTATCCCTTCCAAAATCTATGTTGGTAAGAATTAAATTTAATTTATTAAATTATCCAGAGTGATGCATTATTTACGGATAAGGTTTTGTTTGGTCATAAACTTAATTTCTCCGATATGTTGTGGAAACAATTAAACAATTAAAAGATGAATTTTAAAATTACATTTTTTTTTATTACAAGTCAACAGGTCCGCAGAACTAAATGCAGAAAAGGCTTCAGTATTTCCCATTTTCATCAAAATATTATAGACCAAAGATTGCTACAATACATTCTCAGCAAAATACCCCCCCCCCCTCCAACTCAAAAAGAATAGAAATAATTAAATTATTCTTAAAATGGAATGAAGACTTACCGGTATAAAAAAAAAATACTGAAAAAACTGCAGTAATATTTCTAAGATATCATTACTGTAAACGTACGAAAATTAGCTCACTCACAAACTTCCTCACCAACTGCTTATCGTAATCATTAGCATATTTAAAAAAAAAATACATGTTTATGACAGGACCCTTGACTAAATAGACTTTTAAGTATTTTTCGAAAAGATGCGAATGTTGTGTCATAAAAGTGTTAAGGTATAGTGGGTCTTTGCTCCATGTTTTTGTTGACCAAAAATGTATTTTTTTTTTTTTTTATTTTTTTTTACAAACCTTGAGGATAAACTTTGAAAAATATGGAGCGAAGAGTAAGACCCACTCATATATATCGACAAATTGTGTTACAGTATGAGAAAATGATCCTTTTTGCCCTCTCTGGTGTGTGTATGCTATTTCATAGGCAAATAATTTCAATCTTAGTGAGATTTTTGTAAATTGTGGAGATTTTACATAAAGTATACTTTAATTTTAGATGAAATGTCAAAGAAAATTTTGCTTTAATTGAGATTTAATTTTTCACCTCCATGTTTGTTGCACTATAGGCATTGTGGTCGCCTTGTTCGCCCATTTTCTTATGGATACTTTATGTTTATGTTATACATTTTGTTAAAAAAAAAAAAAATATTTTTTTTGCAGTTTTTATGCACGATGGAAAACTTGTTTAAGGACCTATACCACATGTGAGTCACGTGACATGTCACTTTGGATTGACATGGGCTGTAACATGTGTAAGACCACACATGCGAAGTGGGACAAAGGGAGAAAATATTTTCAGAATAAAAAATGGAAGAACTTACTTAGTAGATCGAAAAAGTACAATAAAGGACTGAAATTCTGACATTCTGCTCTTTTTTTTTTTTTTTTTTTTGATTAAGTCCAACACCCATAAATGTTACAGAGGGAATGCTTTTGAAATTGTGCATAATATTAATATCATATATTATTTCTATGAAAATATTCTAAGAGTTTGATAAATTCGAGCAGAGCAATGTAGATAGTAGATGATATAAAGATGATATAGAGAAAGTATCCAAATCAGGAAAAAAAAATATATAAAAACTGATTCACTGTCTTGTTAAGATAATCGAGAACACAGAATTCACAGAAGATGGAAGAAGAACATATAGGAAAAACAAAGTCTGCAAAGGTACCTGGTTCTATTATAAAAGTTAAGAAAGCTATAGAAGAAACTCCACAAGTGTCAATCTTGAAAGAAACTAATTACTTAAACCATAGTTAAACAAGTGTCTACAGAATACCTCTTTTGTTTGATATTGACACCTTATGCATTCATGCAGCATCTAAACAATCGGACATTGCAAGAAACCTGCTTTTGACAAGATTTGGTTTTCAGATAAAGGACACTAATTATAACTTACATTTATAAATGATGCTATTAATAAGAATAATTTCCACTTCTGGGTAAGAAAAAGGACCTCTTTTTACTTTGAGAAGCCGATGCATGGGAAGAGAGTTAGGATTTAGGCATGCAGTCCTCAGTGCTTTGTGTGACCGACCTGTATTTCTTTAAGAATTAAAAAGGCAACGTTCAGACTTTAAATTATGATCATCTTTTAAAATCATTTTTGCAGAAAATATTTTCCAAATTTGGCTAATGATGTCAAATTATCCGTTTATTCAACTGGACAAGTTGGTGCTTCACCCTAAACAGCTGCGCCAGATTTTATATATCAATAAAATGTTTGCCACCATTTCATCCCTCACAAACAAACGGTGTTTGCCCCCTACATTCTCAACAATTGAGTCACTTAGATTTTTCTTTTGAGGTTATCTGAAGGATCGATCGTGCGTTCCAACCTACTCCTGAAACATTGAATGATCCTAAGTAAGCAATAAAGCATTTGAATGAAAGGAAAAACAGGACACGTCATGACTGGTGACGTATAAAATATAGTTTATAATGACCTTAAATAGTTTATTAAAAAAAGTCAAAATTTAGGGAACCCCGATCTTTTAACTGGCGTCACAATTTCATAGATATTATGAATTCTGTGGAAAATTACGCCAGGCGATGGACCAAACATGAAAAAAAGGACCTTGACACTTTGTCAGAATGGATTAAAAATATAAGATGAATGTTAAAATCTCGCATTAAGCGATTTAGGGACAATATGTTAACCATCTATCCTTCTGTCTTCAATAATTCAGAAGTGAAAAAAGAAATTAGAGAGATCTGTAACTGGTCCCAGCTGACAAAGGAGGTAATTAACAACGTTGTCTTTGTGAGGCTAAATTATTTTAAATGTATTTTAGAGGAACTGGGATTTAATTCTGCTAGTGGTAATCCAATTTATACCCATAGCTCCCTTTTAAATGAAAAAAAAAAATATTCAAAATCATATGTCAATTTTAAATAATTTTAATATTTCCAATAATCAAATTGAATTTGAATTATATGTACCATACTTATACTGGATTCCTAACCTATATAAAAATCCTTACAAAGATACAAAGCGGGTTCCAGTAAATGTTCTACCAAGACTCTTTACTCCTCACTAAAATATGAACAGCAGTAAAGGAGAAACTTCAGGAGCACTGTACTATAATATATTCGAGATGTGGTGTAAATCAGATATGGATACTTAAAAACTTCAAGGAACTATCAGAAAAATTTTACCAAAATCAATAACATCAAAACCTCGACTTTTCACCACTTTATACAATATTCTACGGAAGCGTAATAGGGCCGCAGCAGTATCTTTTATCAATTTGTTTTAACAAATTACTAATTTGTTATAACAAATTATCAATTTGTTATAATAAATTATAAAGTTGTTAAAACAGATTACTAATTTGTTATAACAGATTTTTAATTTGTTATAACAAATTACTAATTTGTTATAACAAATTATCAATTTGTTAAAACAGATTACTAATTTGTTATAACAGATTACTAATTTGTTATAACAACTTACTAATTTGTTATAACAAATTATCAATTTGTTATAACAAATTATTAATTTGTTATAACAGATTACTAATTTGTTATAACAGATTACTAATTTGTTATAACAAATTACTAATTTGATATAACAAATTATCAATTTGATATCACAAATTAGTAATTTGTTATAACAAATTATTAATTTGTTATAACAAATTATTAATTTGTTATAAAAGATTAGTAATTTGTTATAACAAATTAATAATTTGATATAACAAATTATTAATTTGATATAACAAATTAGTAATTTGTTATAACAAATTAGTAATTTGTTATAACAAATTAGTAATTTGATTTAAAAAATTATCATTTTTTACAAAATATGAAGGTGAATACAGGTCTACGGAAGCCAGATCAGATCAGATCAGAAATCTTATTTTAAATCGGTTTTATGAACACGTTAAGCATAAGCTTTGGAGAGCTTTTGATCAATATGTTAATGTGGATTTAGATAAATTAGCAACTTAGATTAAAGCACTTTAATTTTTGTTTAATTGCAGGGTTTTTTTTTTGTTTTTGTTTTTTTTTTTTTTGAGTCAGTTCCTTGGAATAGATTTCTCTGTTAGACAATTAAAAGAATAGCTGCATCCCAGGGATTATGTAGAAGAAATACAGAATGTTGGATCCTTCGAGAAAAATTCGAAGTTCCGGACAATTAAATATGACTTCAACGTCGTCCATTCAAATCAACACTTTTTTCAATGTCAACACAGGGGTCAAAAGGGGAGAAGACCTATTTTTTCCTTCTTTACACATGTGTTATATTTTGTGTGTATTGTTATAACAAATTATATTGCTTAACGATTTCTTGTAAAATATATGAGTAGTCCTATATGAGACAACCAGGATACAAATTACAAATGAATTTGAAGAAAGAACTGTCAAAGTTTTCAGCCAATAATAAGTTATGAAGGCTTTAGTGGGACTTCGAGGGCTTTTCCAAAAGGCACGTATTTTGATTATAAAAATTACATACATACATGAAAAAATTTCACAAGGTATCTAAATTCAAATTTTACGAAGTACTACCCACTCAAGAACATTGTTTATTTTCATTTTCAGAAAAGGTTATTACAGAGTGCTTATCAATTTTTCTATGATAATTTATCTACAAATTCATTTTTTATCAATGTTGCCTTTATTGCCCCCAGCATAAATTAGGGCCAAGGAGGTTCACCAGAGGAGCAGATTCAGGTTTATGCATTAGGAACGGCGGTTTAGTTTAAAATATATTTTATTCATGATACATAAACTGGATTGAACAGTAGGCATAAATCATTTGGTACATGTATAGAATGAATCGAGAGAGAGAGAGGGAAGGGGGGGGGGTAAAATGAAATAAAATAAAAGACATATTGAAAAAAAACATATTATAATGAACATGTTGATTCAGGGTGGGAAAAATTCCCTCTCCAAATAATATAACATGTCTTTGATAAGATATTTTTTCCTAGCATACGAACGGGGATGCAATGACCTGGTAAATGGGAGTCAAGGACGGAGCCCTGGTGGGGGAGGAGGACAAAATTCAAATAGAGCTCCTAAGAATAAGTAAATAGGAACCAAAGAATTTGATGCATTGTATCTTTATAACAATAATGTTTGACAGTGAAAACTCTAAATGCTAAAAGATGTAAATCCAGATTAACATATTGGTCAAAAGCTGTAGCTGCAGAGCTTGTACATTTATTATTTTCACAAATCCAACTTATAAAAAGATTTCTGATCTCATCTGGCTTCCATAGATCTGTATACACTTTCACTTTATCAAAATTATTAATTTGTTATAACAAATTACCAATTTGTTATAACAAATTAATAATTTGCTATAACAAATTATTAATTTGTTATAACAAATTATTAATTTGTTATATCAAATTGATAATTTGTTATATCAAATTAGTAATCTGTTATAACAAATTAGTAATCTGTTATAACAAATTAGTAATTTGTTTTAACAAATTAGTAATTTGTTTTAACAAATTGATAATTTGTTATAACAAATTAGTAATTTGTTATAACAAATTAATATTCTTGTTATAACAAATTGATAATTTGTTATAACAAATTAGTAATTTGTTTAACAAATTAGTAATTTGTTATAACAAATTGATAATTTGTTATAACAAATTAGTAATTTGTTATAACAAATTAGTAATCTGTTATAACAAATTAGTAATCTGTTATAACAAATTAGTAATTTGTTAAAACAAATTAATAAAAGATACTGCTGCGGCCCTAATACGCTTCCGTAATATTCCACACAATAAATTAAAGTCCAGGCTTTTGACGTCATAGACAGCTGCTTTTTAAAAAAAGAAAAATTTTACCAAAATCAATAACATCAAAACGTACGACTTTTCACCACTTTAATTCAATTCACTTTATTGACAATTACCCTGTCGGCATACAGTCATAACATAAAACAAATTAACAAGAATAATACATACATATACAAAGTGACAAATGTGAGTTGAACAAAATAATGTAGAGTATATTCACAAATTTTTAAGTCTTCATTGCTGACTTTCTTTTCTGGTGTCAAAGCACTTTTTCAAAAAAACAACATATCCTTCTAGCAGTTGTAATATTTGTAGGATTGACAATTTTTCTAATGGAATTATCACTAGTATATGTATTTACATTAAATACATCAGTATAATTGCATCTAAATTGGTCATACTTTGAACAGTATAGAACAAAATGTTTTTCATCTTCAATAAATAATTTACATGAATAAACGTTTTTCTCTAGGAATAGGGGGTTTACAGTATCTGCCCGTTTCAATATACAATGGATGGACACTGATCCTTAATTTTGTTAATACAGATCTAAAACTTTTCTTCAAAGGCAGCTTTAAATAACTTTGCAATTT